CGCTGGGGAGAGGGGCTGGGGGGAAAGGGGCAGGGCACATGTCCTGCCTGGTGCCACGTGTCACCGGCCTCAGCCAGGGCACTCTCGTCCCCGTGGCTCCTGACGTCCCTGCTTGTCTCTGTCCCACAGAGCCGCTGCTGCCGGAGCTGAGCCTGCACGTGGGCAGCGGCAGCGGCCCCTTCCTGCCCGGCTGTGCTCGGCTGCGGGGCGAGGAGGCGGCCGCGCTGCCCGAGCTGCTCTTCCCCTTCACGTGCCGCATGTGCGGGCTGGTGCTGGACGACGGCTTCGCGCAGGACGAGGGCCTGGCTGAGCAGGTCTGCGGGCGCTGCAGCCTGGCGGTGCTGGGCACTGAGCCGGGCGCCAGCCCCCGCAAGGGCAGCGGGGACAAAGGCTTCGCCTGCAGCCTCTGCCCCTTCGTCACCCACTACCCCAACCACTTGGCACGGCACATGAAGACGCACAGCGGGGAGAAGCCCTTCGTCTGCCCGCTCTGCCCCTACGCCTCTGCCCACCTTGACAACCTGAAGCGGCACCAGCGAGTGCACACAGGCGAGAAGCCCTACAAGTGCCAGCTCTGCGACTACGCCTGCGGCAACCTGGCCAACCTCAAGCGTCACGGGCGCATCCACTCGGGTGACAAGCCCTTCCAGTGCAGCCTCTGCAGCTACAGCTGCAACCAGAGCATGAACCTGAAGCGGCACATGCTGCGGCACACGGGTGAGAAGCCCTTCAAGTGCCGGGACTGCTCCTACACCACCGGCCACTGGGACAACTACAAGCGCCACCAGAAGATCCACGGCCACACGTCTGAGAGCTGGGTAAACCCTCACACTGCCAAAGGCCTGCTGGCCCCTCCGGCCGTGGGCACGGCCCTGCCTTGAGACAGCACTTAGCTCGGCTGCAGGGCTGCCCAACCCCGTGTCGGGCACAGGGTGCCTCAGCCCTGGGGTGCCCCAGCCGCAGCCCCTGCCCTCCCTGGGGGAGGGACAGGCATCAGACTCCATGGGGGGGCTCAGTGCTGCCTTACGCAGGGTCCGCCAGGATCTCCAGCAGCCCTGTCCAGCCCAGGCAGGGTGAAGCCACGACCGGCAGCTTGGGTGCCAGGCTCGGGTCTCTGCCCCAGCAGCAGTGGTGCTGTGTCCCCAGGCACCCCCCGGGGTGGTCCCTGCCTGTTCCTGCCTGCCGGAGCCTTCCTCTGCCGGAGTTTGGGGAAAAGGGGGGAGGGGGGAATGGGACTGGTTCCCTGGCTGTTGCCATGCCAGTCAGTGTAATTTATATTGTGTATAAAAGCATTAAACGGTCAGTTTTGTTATCCGCCATTCTCCCTGGGGGCCTTGTTCTGCTTCAGGCCAGGGCAGCATGGGGCTGGTGAGGGGTGTGGGGAGGGGAGGGACAGCAGGTAGCCCCCCAACAGACAGCCAGGTACCAATCAGGATCCATTTTAATCATCATTGCAGTGTGTAAACATCGGTTACTGTCCATTAATGCTCTGGTCGGTCGGAGCAGCAGGAGAGAGGTGGTTACAAGCCTAGATTATGCTGGAGTCTATGAGCGGGTTAGAGGGGGGGGGGCTCTGCGCAGAGCCCCCCGGCAGACAGTTTACTGCAGTCTGTCTCAGAGCAGGAACCTAAACGCTAATTTGGCATTATGGAGCCTCATGAGGGCCGCTCGGTGCCACCAGGCTGCCGCCGCCGAGCCACTGCCACAGCCGCCCTCCTGGGTGCCGGACCCTGTCCCTCCCGGCCGGGGAGGGGGCAGCTCTGCCCCCCCGCGCTGGGCCAGGCTCCGCCACGCTGCTCCGGGGCTGCTCCCGGGCACGCTGCTCGGGTCGGGCCGAGCCCTCTCCCAGCTGGAGCCAGCAGCGGGAGGGGTTCAGCTGCCCCCACCCCGAAAGGCAACGGAGGGGCTGGGGGTGAGCCCCCCCAGCCCGGGGGAGCGGGGAAGGTGGATGTAGCGGGTGAGAGGCACGTTGATTGCAACCTGTCTGCAGGTCGTACATTCCTCAGCGAAGGCCCTGGGGCGGGTGCTGTCCTAGGAAGGGGGGGGCCACTACAGATCTTCATCACCAATGCCCTCGAAGGCGTAATTGCCGTGGAAGTCGTTAGCGCCCACATCGTTAGCAGAGCTGGAGTGGCTGATCCCTCGCAGGCTGACGGAGGTGAGCTTGCTCTGTGGAGAGGGGAGATGTTAGGGGGGACCCCTGCTCCCCCCGTGGGGGACAGTGACATTGTGCCCACACGCAACTCACCGAGAGTTTGGCCATCGGCTCCCGGGAGGCGTCAGGTGAGTCCTGCAGGGACAGCACGGTCAGGCACGGTGGGACATGCCACCCACCCTTCCCACCACCCGCCACCTCCCTGCCCTCGGCCACCACTTGCCCTGCCGGGAGGAGGCCAGGCCACCATCCCTTCTCTGCCCCAGGGAGTCCAGCTCCCAGGGATGGGGCCAGGACCCCTTTCTCTTCCCAGGGCCGTGGGAGTGGGGCAAGCCCAGCCCTGGGGCAGTGGGCTGTGGTACCCGACACACAGCAAAGCCCATGGTCACGCTTGTCTCCCTCACTGTGGCCGAGGGTCCCACTCACCAGCAGCGGGGGCGATTTCACAGCTTGCTGGCTGTCCGAGCGCCGCAGGGCCCCGTTCACCCGCCGGCGAAACATCTGCAGGGGAGGAGCTGAGCTCAGCAGGGTCCCCACAGGCAGCTCCAGAGGTCAGGTGGCCCCTGGGGATCCTCCAGCTGGCCCCATCCCAAGGAGAGTGAGCAGGGCCCAGTCTAGACCCTGGGGAGGGGGCCCAGACACAACATCGCACCCCAGGGACATTGTCCATCCCTAGCCCTCACCTTGCGGATGCTGCCTCCAGACTTTTTCACCATCAGCTCATCCACCATGGACTGCAGGCAGATGCTCAGCATGATGGCCTGCAAGGGAGAGGCGTCACGAGGCTCCATGCAGCCCTTGGCTGTCCCAGCACACCACGCTGAGCCCAGACCAGCCCTGTCCCTCACAGCCACCCCCTTGCTCCATGTCCTTGCCCACTGCCGGCCCAGCACGCAGCCGGCCCTACCTGCGGACTGGTGATGGTGACCCACTGCAGCCGGTCCTTGCTCATTAGATACTCGAAAGCCAACTCCAGCTTCACCTCCGACTTGCCCGGGCTGCTCCCCGAGGGACCGTTGCTCATTGGCACCTGCAAGGGCTCGTGCTGAGGCTGGGAGCCCCCCCAGGGAAAGCAGCCGGCTCCCTGCGGCTGGGGGCTGCCCTTGTCAGCGCAGGGCCAAGTGCTGGCCACCCTGCCAAGCTCCCACTAGCCCTTCACCACCACCAGGTCCCGTCACTGCAGTGGCCCCCTTGAACATCCCTCACACCAACAACCCCCTCAGATCCAAAGCACCCCCCAGGCCACCTGGGCTGCGAGCACAACAGCCAGCACCTTTCCTGGGGTGCAGCCTGGCACAGGGGGTCCCACCAGATCCCACAGGGCCCTCCCAGAAAGTGGCACTCACTGAGGATGTGACCCGCCAGCACCGCATCCGCGTGACCTTGAAGCTGCCTTCCTTGATCTGCTCGTTCGGCAGCCGCACCTGGAAGTTGAGCTCGTTGTTGCCGGCGCTGACGACGACGTGACACCCCTTCTCCGGGAAGTCGGTGACGCAGGGGTCAAACTTGAGATAGCCGTAGTACTTGAGGGTCTGCGCCAGGCGGATGAACTGCGGGCAGAGCCAGGGATGCTCAGCACCTTCCCGGGCCAGGAAGAGGCACCGAGCTCAGCACCGCTCCTTGGCACAGCAGCAGTGCCAGTCCGGTGCCGGGGCTGCCCCGGTCACGGCATCCTGCCCTCCCCTACCTCCTTCTTGGAGACTTTTTCCTGCAGGGACTTCAGCTGCCGGTGCTGTTCCTTGTTGACAAGGATCCATCCATGCTCGATGTCTGACACCGTCTACCAAGAAGCAGAGGCTGGTGAACAGCTCGGCCCGGAGCCCCCTGAGACCCGGCACAGCCATAGCCGAGGGGTGCAGGTGTCCCCCCTCACCCAGCTGGGACGCTCCCACCCTCACCTGCGCGTACAGCAAGTTCAGCCCCACGCGATGCTCCATGACATCGTCATCGTAGGAGGAGTCCCAGTAGCTAGAAGGGAACCACATGGGTCAACCTATTCCCCAGCTCTTGACCATGATGAGGAGAAAAACACCACCCCCCCCACCCCACGCTGGGACAAAGCGCTGGGCTGGCTCTGGCCAGCTTGCCTGGTACCCACCAGTTGCCATGTCCCACTCCCCCTCTCAAGCAGCTGCCCAAGGGGCTGGGAAAGCAGAAGCCGGGCAGCCTGTCCCTGGTGTCATGGCAAGGGTGGCCCAGATGCATTCTTGGGGGTTGAAGCACCCCGCAGATGGCGATGGCAGGAGGGGAGCAGTCCCTCTGCAGACCCCCAGACACTGCCCCACTGCTCCAGCGGTTGCTGCCCCCCGGCCCTGCCGCTCACCTCTTGCGCAGGATGATCCTGAACTCGGGGTTGTGCAGGCTGGTGACGGACACGTACGGCAGCTCGAACTCCTGCAGCTTCCGCACGACTGCGGGGACACAGCAGCTCAGCAGCAGCTCGGGGCCACGGGAGCCCGCTGGACCCCTGCCAGCCAGGGCACCCCAGGGGACCCCCCTGGATACTCCCCCACCAGGGGCCCAATCATGCAGGGCACCACGTTCCCTCTCCCAGGGCAGACGTCCCATGACAGCCCCCACGGGACTGTCCCCAGCGTGTTCCACTCACAGGAGAAAGCTCCGTCCTTGGTCTCCCTCACCAGGAAGAGGCTGAAGTAGCCGACCAGGTCATCCGGCAGATCCAGCTTGGAGGCCACAGCCTGGGAGCCAGAGCGGGAGGTCACCACTTTCCGCACAGAGGCGGCATTTCTACATCCTTGACCTTCTACATTGGGTTCTGGGGACTCCCAGCAAAGGAAGGCAGTGTCTCTGCTGTGCTGAGGACAGGACAGGGGGGACAAGGGGACAAGTGGGGCCCAGGGTGGCTGTTTCATTGCCACCACGAAACAGCTGGGGGCCTCCCACCATCAGTCTGGGCCCACAGAGGGCCACGAGCACATCAGGACACCCTTTCTAGCTCCACTGCTCTTTGACCCCCGCCAAGACAACCCTGCTCTGGGGTAGGGACAAGGCAGGGGGGGCCAGGGTAAGGGAACCCGTGCACACGTGGGGAACCCCAGAACACAGCAGGAGGGGCCAGTCCCGCCCAGCACAAGAGCTTTGGCACCTCAAGGACATCCTCTGTCTGGTCCGAGGTGAGGATGGTGACCTTGACCTTCTGGCCGTTGGAGAGCAGCACTTCCAGCACCACCTCCTCCGTGGGTATCTGCTGTGTTTCCTGGGCAGAGAAACAGGGATGGCACCCCAGCTCCCCCTCCACCACCCACCCTCGGACCCCTCAAACCATCTGGTGGCTGGCACTTGCCCCCACAGTCCCCAGGTCCCGAGGCTCCTGCCCCCCACCTGCTGGGCCTTGCGCAGGAAGCTGTTGAAGGTCTCGCTGCCTCCCAGCGTCGGGTCCTGCCGCACTGCGGGGGGGATAAAGACGAGGAAGGAGGCAGGCATTATGTGGGAAGGGGCAGGGACCCACGCCGCAGACCCACGCTCTGCAGACCCTCAGTTTGCACCCAGAATAAGCGTCCACATGGGGGACTCCCCGTGGGTGAGACTCGCTGCCAGCACCGGAAAAGGGAAGAGGCTGGGATGGAGGAGCAGCCCTGGCAGTGCCCCTTGGCAATGGCCAACGTCCATTAGACAAGGCCAACGAACACCAGAGCATTGCTGTGAGTATTAAGAGGGGCCAGAGCAAGCGGAGCGGCGTGGGGAGGAGGGTGCGGGCAGTGCCCCAGTGCCCGGAGCAGCCAAGCCATGGCACGGGGCAGACCCACTTACCAGCCTGCATGTATTTCTCCAGCTGCTCCCGTCGTTGCTCTACCTCTGCTGGGGTGAGCGTGAAGATCTTCTTTGGGGGAAAGGCTGGGACCACGTTAGCGCCATACTCTTTCCTTAACTGGGGAGAGAGCAGAGTGCTGTGGGAGCCCCTAAGGAGAGGGGGGCTGCTCTGACCCCCCCACCCCAGCTGATTTCCAGGGCCTGGCAAGGGAAGCAGAGAGCTTCCCAGTGTTCCTCATCCAAAGGGGCAGAGAGCAGTTTGCAAAAACCCAGGGGGACATCACAGAGAAGGAGAGGAGGCTGCACCCCACACCAAGGAACAGAGAATGAGACCCTGGCTGGCCCCGCAGCAGCACACACTTGCCAATGGCCAGTGCAGCACCCGACACTCTGGCTCTGAAGCAGCACAGAATCCCAGAGTGGTCAGGGTCAGCAGGGACCTCTGGAGATCATCTCCTCCAACCCCCTGCCAGAGCAGGGCCACCCAGAGCAGTTGGACAGGAACGTGTCCAGGTGAGTTTCAATGTCTCCAAAGGAGACCCCAAACCCTCTCTGGGCAGCCTCTTCCAGAGCTCTGCCACCCTCACAGGTTAGAAGCTCCTCCTCATGTTGAGATGGAATTTCCCATGTTCCAGTTTGTGCCCGTTTCCCCTTGTCCTGTCCCCAGGCACCACTGAGAAGAGTCTGGCCCCATCCTCTCGCCACCTGCCCTCTAGCTCTTGCTCAGCATCGATGAGGTCCCCTCTGTCTGCTCTTCTCCAGCTGAACAGCCCCAGGGCTCTCAGCCTTTCCTCAGCAGAGAGATGCTCCGGTCCCTCATCATCCTCATAGCCTCTGCTGACCCTCTCCAGCAGTTCCCTCTCCTTCTGGATCTGGGGAGCCCAGAACTGGACCCAGTGCTGCAGATGGGGCCTCCCCAGGGCAGAGCAGAGGGGGAGGATGACCTCCCTCCACTGGCTGATCACACTCTTCTTGATGCCCCCCAGGAGACCACTGGCCTTCTTGGCCACAAGTGCACTTTGCTGGCCCATGGGAAATTTGGTGTCCACCAGGATTCCCAGGTCCCTCTCTACAGAGCTGCCTTCCCACAGCAGCCGCACAGCCCAGGTCCCTGCCCGCAGCACGTCCCTGCGGGGTTGGGGGGACGTTGGCAGCAGCTCCCGTGGGGGACAGAGGGGTCCCTACCTGCTCGTGCAGCCCCAGGAGCTGGCTGTAGCGCACACGGCAGTGCAGCACCCCGTTCACGTGGATGTTGTAGGCCTGCGGGGAGAGAGGACGGTCAGACCCCACCGAGGGGCAAATAGGACCCCCCCAGCCCTCCCCCCCGACCACAGAGCTCAGCATAAGGGTCACCACAGAGAGCCCAGGAGAACATGCCCCCACCCCATGTCCCTCTGGGCCCCTCTGGGACATCTCTACCCCAGCAGGGACCAGCCCAGTGGGGATCACCTGCCCCACAGCTCAAGGGAACCCCCACAGGGACGGGGAGGCAACTGCTCCTGCTGCAGGAGACCCCACTATTATAGAAATCACGCGTATCAGTGCTAAGTTTCAACTAACTTTTCCTGTACCACCACAGAGCTGGTCCCTGGCTGCTGCCCCGGGGGTCCCCTCTGCCCTGCACCCCAGCCAGGCTCAGCTCCCGGCCGCCTCGCTGCAGGCAGCCTCCTCCCAGGGGACAGCCCTGTCCCTTCGTGCGCCAGCACCTCCTGCCATCCCCAGAATGGCCTTTGGGAGGGTGGGAGGACACACCGTGGGGGCTGGCAACCTGCCTCCAGCTGACAATGGCAGCCCTGGCAGGTACCTCCCACAGCTGTTTTACTCGCTGGGAGCCCCAAAAAGCTGGGGCTACCTGGGGTCAGCAGTGGCATCCGTCCAGGCCACGGTGTCCCTGGAGCTCACACAGGCTTTTCACACTGTCTTTCAACCCAAAGGTAACAGCCCCACGGAGGCCCTAGGGCACCACGATGGGTGCTGGGCGGCCCTGGCAGCACGGGGGCCTGTAGTCTCCTGGGGTCACCAGCTCCTGGGGTCCCAAACCCTGGGCTGCAGACGATCCCTCCTCTGACAGCGGGGACAAGGTCTCCCCCCGCCCAAGGAGCCATCGCGGCACCGGAGGGCAAAGTGCAGGGGGAGGCACGGGGCCGAACACACCTTGGCCGCTCGCTCCTCCGGCCCTTGGGCAACTGCAGCTGCCTGTGGGTCACCAGGTCCCTTCACAGCCCTTCCCACAGCCCGTGGCTGCCATCGCTGTCCCCAACACACCACCTCGGGCCGCCGAGCGGGGTGGGGAGATCCCCCGGAGCGGGACCCTGGCAAAGGGGGTGGGCGAGAGGTCCCCATGGCAGCCGGCGTGGAGGGACAGGGTGCCCGCGGCAGGGCCGGAGGGAGCCAGAGGGGACACGGAGCGACGAGCTGTGGGCCGGGGGGCGCAGGCAGCCCCCATGGCCGCACCACCACCTCTGCACGGCCAGACCCTGCCCCGGCCCGGCAGGGAGGAGGTCTCGGTGTCCGGGGGCCCTGGGGGCCAGCGCCCCCCCAGCAGCCTCCCGGGGGCCCGGTCCCGGAGGAGCTGCCAAGCCGGAGGGCGTTCACGGCGCGCCGAGCAAAACAGGAAGCCGGGACGGACGGACGGACGGACGGGCTGGCGGGCCAGCGTGAGCCGGGGGGGCCCGGGGACGGGATGGGGCCCCCGCCCGCTGTCCTCCCCCCCACCGGACCTGCCGCCCCCCGGCGCGGGCCAGGGCCCGGGCACCCTCCGAGTGGCTGCACCCCAGGGACACCCCCCCCGGTCCCGGCCCCTTCCCTCCCGGTCCCGGGGCGCTGGGGCGGCGCGGCCCGACGC